CCCCAAAACCCCAAAACCCCAAAACCCCTATTAAAATTGATCAGCTAAATGATAAGGAATAATTAAATTCAATTAATTAAATTTTTATACATAAAGTAAATGGTCGTGATTAGCGCAAGCATTTGCAACAAGAATGGTAAAATCTTGGTTGCAAGATAATTTATACCAATCACCAGGCTAAAGCTCGAAGAGTACATGGCGAACTTCCCAAAGCTCATCGAATCAGGTAGTGTTATTTATCAGATATTTACAATTTACTCTTCAATATGCCTATATCTTAGCTTAATTTCTGATTAGGAAAATAATGTACTCATATTGAGACTGAGAGTATAAGATACGTATATCTGCCCATGGAAAAGCTCTTCTTAGTGTTGATCACGAATAAGAACTCTAATATCATTGAGGATCTAGAAGTTATCAGACTATTGCACTAGGTGGTTATTCAATAATGCTAATAAGGTAAATAGCGCGTGTCAAATATTTGAATATAGGTTTGGATGATAAGGTAGTCATGAAGAAAGCATTTGATTTGATTCTTACATTTGATGATGTTATATCTTGTGGCCATAGAGAGTCAGTCACTATGCCTCAACTTGAATCATACTTGGAGATGGATTCAACTGATGAAAAGATGCACAAGAAGATGCAATTGATAAGAGAAGCTGAAGCAAGAGAGTTCGCAAAAAAGCAATAAAAAGAAATTTCAAAGAGAAAGCATGATCCTGCTTATAAAGATAATATGAAAAGCATGTCAAGTTCAGATTATCAAGCTAATCCAGCAGGAGTAGGCCCAGCTTAGATACAAGGAGTAGGCTCATCTGGGTCAAATGCTGGATTTTAAGCATTGAATAAGCCTTAAACTTCAAACTATGATGACAGCACTTAGCTTTCTCAAGCCAAAAAGATTCCAGGTAAAGCTATGCAACTTGGAAAACCCAAGAAGCAAAATGAGCTCATGAAAGATTTATAAAAAGAAAAGTTGTTCTCTAAGCCATAAGATGCTTATGTTGAGGAAACAAAAGCTCAAGAAACCATTGCAGTAAACCCATTATTAGAAAATGTAGTGATAGAAATTGAGGAAAAGGTAAACTGCTCAATTAATAAAGATGGCGAGTTAGACAGATTCGAAGTTAAAGGTATAATTTTTGTGACCTTGAATGATCCAAAGAAGAACAACCCACTAGCTCAGTTACAATTCAACCCAGTAAAGGGCTTCAATTTCAAGCCACATCCAGAGCTCGATAAGCAAACCTGGAATAAGCAAAAGACCATTTGCGCAGCTGATAAAGAACAAGGATTCCCTGCCTAAACAAGACTTGATGCAGTGAGATACAACTACAGATCAAAGGATGAAGGAGACCTACCCTTCACAGTTAACGTTTTCAACTCTAAGAAATAGAATAAGTCAGTTATCACTCTAGAGATAGAATTGAATTAAAACTGCAATTTGAGTTTTAAAAGCTTTGAAAGAGTAACTTTAGCATTAAGTTGGGGTAATAGAGATACTGATATTGAGGTTCTGAAGATCGCGAAGAATCAATAACTTGAATAAGATCAAAAGAATGATATGCTACTCTGGCATGTTTCTAATTTGATGGAAGAGGGAAGCTCTGTACTATCATTCGCATCTGAGAAAATTTAATTTGAAGAAATATTCCCTATTGAAGTCAGATTCGAGGAAACATACTCGTTAATAGATCTTGGTGTGACATCTGTGCAAAATGTTTCAACTGGCGATGCTCTTTCTCTTAAAACAATCCATTCTTTAACAACTGAAAATTACAGAATCACTGAGTGAATAATCATCTGCTCAAGTTTTAATCTTATTCTTGATAATAACTAATTATTCATTTTTCTTTCAATCATAGCTTGACGGGGTTTTGGGGTTTTGGGGTTTTGGGG